TTAAGAAGTTATGGGGGTGGCCCATAGTTGATGGGACACGTGTGTAGGCGACCCCATAGCTGACGTGAACGGCATGGCCTGCTGGCGTAGAGTCGCGGGGTCAGCGCAGACTTAATAGCTCTCTTGTTGCGACAAGGCATTAGTACTGCGAAGATTGGTCCATTTTGTGCTTAATTAACTTATCCAACACTTTCCGATACATAGTAGAACGAGCATGGCTGCGAGACGTTTCTTGGATTGATCTACATACAACAATTTAGTGACACATTAGTAAAATTTCGCATTTTCGGTATTCGTTTTAGTGTGTCAGTTTTTATTTCTAAGCAAATTAGCGACGAAAATTTTCAAAGGCTTTTCTGAGCTAGCTTGGTGGTTCTGCTATGTTACGGCCTAGTGAACCCATCTCGACGGAAATTGTACTAAATTTGGACATTTATCGAATTATTGGAAAAGATTTTCCTACGCTTCTTAAATTGCGAGACCAAACTATTCGGAATTACTAGGTCAATTTTAGTTCTAAAGAAAATAAAGAATAATGTAACACAGAATTATCAAGCTTAATGAATCGTCTCTACGTTGTATTTATAATGCAGTCTATAAATTACAATGATACCATCCATTCCAACAAAACAGTTGCGTAGAAGTGGAATTTTGTGATTGTAAAAAATGTAAAAAATATAGTTTGTAAAGAATGTGTATTTGGTATTTAGTTATTTCAATTGTAAGTTTTCTTGACTATTTTCTGAAGGGCAAATCTGTTAAATTAACAAAACATACAATTATTCTTAATGGTTCGCTACATTACCAAAATGGAAGATGAATTTTCACTGCCAAGGAGACCCATTTATCTGGATGTCTCTGTGGAGGGACTTGAGTTCAGGCACCCGCGAGGATCTGCGCGGTGACGTCACGCGGTCAAACACTCGGGCCGCTGCCGCCTACCCACGTCATCTCCGGCGCCTTTGGTGTTTGTTTTTGTGTGGAGATCGAGGCAATGATCTGGCGAAAATGCGAGATGCTGGCACAGCCGGATTGGAACGTGCTAGGTACCCAAGTTATAAACTTAACACACCAGTGTACTAGATGCAGTACTGCCTTCATATTTGAATATATTACAGTGTACTTTCTGATATCGCGCATCACGTTATAATTTGCTGCGTATTATAGGACAATGTATAGGAGTCTATTCCACAAAGCAACGGTCATTTGCACGCTACAAAATGGAGTAACATTCCCGAGGCCTGACAGAGCACGTTGGTATTATTTAAGCGATAAGGTCGGAAACGTTGCGTTACCTTAGGCTTTACAAACTATCAGCAAGGCAGCAGTCAATGTAAAATAATGACGTTGTTTTCCTGTGTTTTGCAATGAACGTTGTGTCAGCTTGTTTCTCTTTCCTCAATGTTCGTAGTTACTCTAAGGGTTCTTCTGAATTACATTCAAAATGTGTTCTAAAAAGTGTAAAAAAGAAATATGATTCACCGTGCTTCCGCAGGTATATTTAATATTTACATAATTCACCTAAATGAATAGTTGTGAGTTCGTTTCAACCATCAGCGCGTCATCCAACTTAGGATGTCAATGACACCGTACCGTGGTTTCTCCACTTGATGTGAGTTGAATGGCGGCGTAGACCCCAAAGCAACGGGCCATAGACCGCGCACGATCTTCAACCTTGTCCTTCTCCCCTCTCTTACACGCACTGACACTTCAGTTCACTACACTTCCACACACGACAGATTAGAGTTCATTCCGTCTGGGTGGGTGCTCTGCCGGGGGAGACACCTGGAGAGTGAAAACACTCGAGGGGACGTGTAGGCGGCACCGGATGTACCGTTCCATTGGAGGAGGAAGACTGTCACCTCCAGGAATATAAAACCTCTTAGGTGGCTCAGGGCGGAAGTGATGTCACTGCAGTGCCTCTCACCGGGAGGCCCTAGGGATCGAGTCCCGACAGTGGCAGGATTTTCTACGCTAGCTCGATATGTCGAAATCAGCTGCTGTCTGGTGGAATATTTTAGCAGTCGGATGCACAGATCGGTGGTTTCCCGTGGTTTATTCGATCAAACCAGGCGATTGCTGAGCCTTACCCTAAAAAACTGTCCAATGTCCGTGCGCGATATTTTCCCCCTCTTTCTAGTCTCTTGCATATCCCTTACCCACACACGCTACACATGCACTACTCCACCACACATGTCCGGAGATCTGTCGGGAGCTTGGAGCTTGCCCTGGCCGGGTCGGTGCTCTGCTGGTGGAAATTACCTGAAGGCGATCGACCGATCGATCCATGAATGTAACACCCCCAAGATGTCAGCATGGCACTGTACGCGGACGATACAGTAATTTACACAACAAACCCTGACATTTCTTGAGCTCACGATTCTAGTCAATCCTCTTTATATGAATATGCCACCTGGACAAAAACGTGGCGTAACGTATTGAACCCCACAAAATCTCAAACAAAAATAATTTCCCCATCGTAGAACCCCTCTCCCGTACCCTTACAAATCAATAATATCTCAGTCTTTGGCTCCGTAATTCCGCATCATTACCTCAAGCCGACGTTCAGGTCGGCGCCGGATCTCACCATCCAGGGGAAGATCCCCGCCGCCTCCCGAGGAAAAAACATGCACTATAATTAAGGGACTAATGACCTCGGCAGTTAAGGCTCCTGGCAACGTGCAGTAATCATCCAATCCATGAATGTAACGTCCGCAGCCCTTAAGAGCCGAATGGCCTTGCCAGCCGACGCGGTCAGACTGTGTGAATTGGGTGGCTCTGCCGCAGGATGGCGCGTGCGCCGGGCGCGCGCGGGCCGCGCGTGGAGGCGTCGTGGCAGGCGACGCCAGCGTGCGCGAGGAGGACGGCGTGGACACCTGGGGCTTTCCCGGGCGTCGCCTCGTCTCAAGCTCTGCACCTGGCGCCGCTCGGTCGCCGGGCCGCGTGCAACCAGTCCGCGGCCGTGCCCCTGGCGCGGCGCCCCTGCGCCCCTTCCGGCGCGTGCTGCCGCCCGCCTAGCCGCCGACGGCGTCGACGCCCCGCGCGCCGCGCGCCGGCCGGCGCCGCCCTGCCCTCGCGCGCGAAGGTAACGGCCTGCCTTGGACACACCTCCGCACCTCTCTACGTCCCCTCTACACCTTTACGACTCCTCTACGTCCCCTTCAGAGCCCCATTTCGCCCCCTCTTCGTCGCCTCTACGACCACTCTACGTCATCTCTATACCTTTACGACCCCTCCAATACCTCTCTACGACCCCTCAACGTCCCCTTCAGAACCCCTCTACGTCCCCTCTTCGTCCCCTCTTCGTCCCCTCTACGTCAGCTCTACGTCCTCTCTATGTCGCTACGCCCCTCTACGTCCCATCTTCATCACCTCTGCGCCCCTCTACGATCCATGTACGTTCCCTCTGTGACCCATCTATATTCCCTCTACGACCCATCTACGTCCCCACTACGACCCATCTATATTCCCTCTATGACCCATCTACTTCCCCACTACGACCCATCTACGTTCCCTCTACGACCCATCTCCCTGTACGGGCCATCTATTCCTCTCTATGTCCCCTGTACACCTTTCTATGAAATGCTACGCCTCTCCATGCCCGTCTACATCTCTACACCCCTCGCTTCTTCTCTATAATCCCATCAAAAGCCCTTCTATGTCCCGTCTTCGTTTTCTCTGCGACCCTTCTACGCCCCCTCTACACCTTTAGAGGCCTCTGCGACCTTCTACGCCTCCTCCACATGCATCTACGACTTCTGCACTTACGAGTGAGAATGTTGATGAGGTGTTGTTGACATTCAAGGATGAAATAATGAAAGTCATCTTTGTCAATTTGGATTTATTATTTATTAATTTGTTACAAATCTAAGTTGACAAAGATGACTTCCATTATTTCATTCTTTTCCACTACCTTCTTCTCTGAGTTGCCTCTCCTTCCCTTTAACCCCTCATGAACGCCCCATATTTGTTTCTGATAAATGGTAATATCCCTTTGAATGTAAATTATCTTCATTCACAACACACTTTTTCATTCCTGAACCTCGACCTCCAACTGCTTTTTTCGTTCTTTTTTGATTTAGTCTGTATTTCCATCTTTTATTTTGCCCGTGCTTCTTACTGCATCTTTTTACGTTTTTATTTTGAATTTATTCCTCTTTTCCCATCTTCCTCTTTGTTCTTTTCTGTTTCTTCTTGTATGGTGTTTATATTATTTTACCTTCTTTGAGCTTCTTGATCTGCCTTGACTGTTCTAACTCAATAATTCTTTTACATATCACTTATATTTCTCTCTGACTGAATACTATTTTATCCTGGAGGTATCTTTTCTCTGTGATTTCGTAACGTAGAAACCTGTTCTTGAGCTTCTATTTTATATCACTGACATTTCTTTGGAGAGTTTCATCATCTCTCGAAATGCTTTTCTGCCGAGTTTCCCTTTCTAGTTCATTCGATTGATTTAATGCCCAATTTATGGTGTAAATATGTAATTCGATACTTTTGTAGCTTCTTAAGTTTCTTGAATTGTTGTAACGACAATTTGCAGAAGATACAGAATGATGCCGCATAGAATACAAATTGCAAGAGTTTCTTGACATATTACAAGAATATTAAAGGCATTGTGAAATGTCGGTAATAATTTGTAAGCTTTCTACTGGTGACAGTAGATTTTCAGTAAAATTTAATTCAATGTATATTTAAAACTATTGCTTTTCTGTATTCGTTCAATAAATAAATTTGTTTTCTGTGAGTAAATGAAAAGTCAATTAACAACTTACTTGAATAACGTTATGAAAAGCCTATTTTAAGCCGTTAATAAGCTTATTTTTATTTTTTAATCTAACAGTGAGTTTGTTCGTCTAGCACTTAATCTCACATATATAACAATTATAAAATGCGTATCTAACCAGTATGATTATATTATTCTATTTACGTTTTGTTGGTGTTCAATCAATTAATTTAATACATATAAATTCCCAAAAATAAACTTTTTTCCACAGGTGTCGTTGACGGTGCATAGGCCTCAGTATCGCGATGACGCGTCATTCAGCGTACTGCTAGCCGTTTGGGGGCAGTTCATCGACCACGACATCACAGCCACAGCTCTCAGCAAACGTAGGTGCAACCTGCATGAGATGATTACTAAACAATACTTATTCAAACCAGATACGAAGTAAACCATTATTTTCCTCGATGTCCCTGACAAGATCAATAATAATTATTTGTAAAGTGATTTTTAAAGGAAAGTCACAGAAGCAAAAATTTCATAGAACTTAGTTTAATTTTTTAAAAAAGGTTTTTACTTAATGTTGCAATGCACTTAATAAGGAGTTTAGAATCAACAATTGTAATCGAATACATCCCTTTGCTGCTTTGTGAGGTAAGGTAATATGCATGTCCTTTTGTGTAAGGTTATCCGCATGTCTGGGGCTAGAATATAAGGGTGAAAAACCATTCTCTTGGAATTCATTTGATGAAACAAACAGATAGAACTATTGAGCGTTCCAGCCATCGTTTCCGCGAATTTGGAAGTGTACATTCGTTTAAAAGAACGTTGGCTCATGCAGCGGTCAACAGTTGTCGGTCACCTCACTCACCAAAGAATGTTCAATCGTCGTGTTCTAAAGAGATGATTGCGAGAGTAGCACGTGTCACTCGAAGATTATCTATTTTCAAAGTTCTATCCTCGCCTTTTTTTTTTCAAACTTTTGCCTCGTAAAATTTGATACACTTAATCACATTTACATCACATTTGTGATTGTGCAGAAATAGGATGGCCCTCAAGGCCTATCGAGTTTTTATGTATTTTTGTACGTGAAATGTCTGCAAATGAACAGTTGTACAACTGCATGACAGAGTAAGTGCGTCTGAAAGTGTGACTGAGGAGACGGTGTCCCGCAGGGTCCACGGACGGAGCCCCCATCTCGTGCTGCTACGCAGTGCTGTCTGGCGGCCAACAGAAGCACCCCGAGTGCTTCCCGGTGCTGCTGGGGCCCGAGGACCCGTTCTTCCAGCAATACAACACCTCCTGCATGGAGTTCGTGCGCTCCGCCCCCGCGCCCGCCTGCCGCTTCGGTGAGTGCTGCTGAGGAATCGTGAAAAGTCGGAGACCGGTTGCGATGGCATACTACAGGGGTTCCTAGTCTTTACCGAGTAACACTTACAATGTATAGGAATTTTGGGCGTACCGACCTGAAATATATTAACTCAGGATTTTCTTTTCAAGTAAAATAAACATAGAAGAAAATCCGCTCCTCATACAACTAGCTTGAGAGATTCGAGAATAATATATCACGTATTGTTTAATTATGTCCTATATTTTCTCTTATTAGGTAGTTATATATACTAGTTTGTAAAATACACACTACTTATGTCACTTTATGTAATTTATAAATGAACATTTTTTCAGCACATGTCGGGAACTTCTTTTTCCCATCATCAGGTGTCATTTTGGATTGTTTGCATTGATCTACCCTTTGTCATGTTGAGATCGGACTTGGCTCTTATTCGACTTGAGCGTTTTTCGGGTAGCCGCTGTTTCTGTCACGTGGCATTGTAAAACGAAACCAACTTTAATGACAATAATAGTTGTCATTAAAGAGTACTCCTTACGTACCATATTCGTGAGACATTATCCCAACAACATAATCTTTCTCTTCATCTATGTAAACATAAATTGTCCGAAAGGCTTCCGCCTAACAGGTAGCTTATAAATAAAAAAAAATGCTGTGTTGATCTACAAGAAGTATATATAATATCGTAATTATTTGTGCTATTGTTAAACAATAATCAACTAAATTCATTCAACTTTTTATTATTAGATAGTGATAACACTGATTTGATAATATTGTATATTGATAACATAATAATCGATAAACAATCAATAATCAAATAAAAAATATTGTATCGTTAAAAATTTTTATTATTAAGAAAATGTATTGTGAAGAATTAATTAGACACAATCTTACACAAATGAATAGATGAAAGACAGAGCGTTTTCCTTTTTTTCTTCAGTGCTTACAAGCATAAAGCTCGAAATATACAATTTACAGAAAAATTATAACTACATTACAAATTTGCAATACTGATGATCTGCTGTGTGGGATAATTCAGATATCTGCGAGAATCAAGTAAGACTTGGTTGACTTATCTTGAGCTGTATCAAGATACGCCAACATAGTTACAAACGCGAACGGACATTCGATAGCATCCTCGTGTACCGGCCACAGCACGTAATCCGGGGCTCAAAGACACGCGACCCCCAATCCCACGTTTTCTCCTGAGCAACCTGAGCCGCACCGTCCTCCGCGCACACGCACGCACTCAAGCCCCCTGCGTTTCAGTAAATAATTACACCACGACGCTCACCTCACACCCATCTCAGAGCACAGAGCTTTATATATATAT